TTTTGAAAATTTTTTTTTCCAGTTCCTTAAAAATGGGTTCAAAAAGGAGGGTCATTTTTGGGGAGAACCAAAAAGGGACTTTGGTTTCATAACATATAATTTTATTATGTTCAATATAAATCAAATTTGATAGTTTCATTTCATTCACTAAACAGTTCCCTACTTTCTTCATTCATTCATGAGTAGGATGGATTAACCATTCTCTGGAAGTAGGTAAACATTTTTCCCTTTTTCTTACTTGAGCCGTGCTCAGTATAACTATGCATCAAGTGTTCGAGCTCTTTTCCTTCATTTGTTTGAGAAAATAGCCTTTACTTATCAATCCTTTCTACAGTCAAACTACTTTCCTATTAAGTTCTTGCACATAGTTATCATTCTGATCATGAATTTTTATTTTCTATTTTATATGTAGATAATAGAGTGGATGACAGTAAGGAAAATTAACTTTTCCCTCAAAGATTATGCTATACATTTGGATCTAATTGGAAAAGTTAAGGGTATAGCGGCAGCAGAGAACTATTTTGATGGCCTCTTGCCTGCTGCAAAGAATCACCGTACTTATGGAGCACTTCTTAACAGCTATTGTGTGGAAAAAATGGTTGATAAGGCAGTGGAACTGTTCGAAAAAATGGATGAAATGAACATGATATGCAAATCGCTGCCTTTTAATAATCTTATGTCCTTGTATATGAGATCAGAGAAGCCAGAGAAGGTGCTTCTTTTGAGAGAAGAGATGAAGAAAAGGGACATCCGACCAGACACATTTACTTATAACATATTGATGCACAGTTATTCACGTTTAAGTGACATTGAGGGAGCAGAAAGAGTTTTTGAGGAGATAAAAGGGGAAAATGCAAAGTTGTGTAATTGGACGACGTATAGTAACTTGGCAGTTCTTTATGTCAGGGCTGGTCTTCATGAGAAAGCTGAGTTGGCTCTAAAAAAGCTAGAGGAGGAGATGGGGCCTAGAAATCGTGAGGCATGCCATTTTTTGATAAGTTTATATGCTGGAATCTCTGATCTTGGTAATGTCTATCGTGTTTGGAATTCTTTGAAGCCGAGATTCGAAGTAGTGACCAATCTGAGTTATCTTATCATGCTTCAGGCTCTTAGTAATCTAAATGATGTTGATGGGTTGAAGAAAATCTACGAAGAATGGGAATCAACCTGTTCTAGTTATGACATTAGGTTGGCAAATACAGCTATTGGTGCTTATTTGACTCATGACATGACCGATGAAGCTGAATCTGTCCTTCGTACTGCAATTGATAGATCAGACGGGCCATTCTTCAAGATTTATGAAATGTTCACCCATTTCTTTCTGAAAAACCATCAAATAGAAGAAGCTTTGCGTTGCATGGAAGTTGCTACATCAGGAATTGAAAAGAATGAATGGCGGCCAAAGTCGGATACCGTAAATAAGTTTATCGACTATTTCAAAGAAGCTTGTGATGTTGATGGATTTGAGAAATTCTACATATATATGAAGAAGGTTAATTGCATTAATCACCGTTTGTACTGCTATTTGCTTGAGACATACATAGCTGCTGGGAAAACAACGCCCAATATTCGTGCTAGGATTGAGGAGGATGGAATTGAAATCAGCAGCCTGCTCGAAAATTTGATTACCTTGCTTTCCCGTGAATAGAAGTGCAGGCTACCCTTTTTTGCCAAAACCTCTCTCCCATCTGCGCCAAGCCCATGCCAGGGTTTGGGAAAGGATTTTTGGGGCCCACGTCTCATTTCCATTTTTATTTGCCGTACTGGAAGAAATTTCAGCTGTTTTTTTACAATAGCAAATAAGCAGTATGCCATGGGTTTTGTTCAGTCAAGTATCTACACTAAAAGGGCATTGCCAGATTTTATTGGGAATTCTTGTTTCTCAATTGCATTCTTGGTAGAAATTGAAGGAGTTTTCAGACTTGAGACTGAATATTTACCACCCTTGCACCGTGCAGATGGGTAGCGAATGATGTATATGCTAACCTGGATTCTGGGCTTTGCTTCCTTTCAAAGCGCACGGTGACAGAGAACTCATGCACAAGCTTTCAAAATATTTAGTGAAACCAAATGAAGAGCAAAGGTGCAACTTTTTTTTCTTATCATCCTGAATTATGTGCCATGCGGGTTTCTGTTTAAGAGTTTAGACTTTTTCTTGTTTCATCATTCTGTTACAAATGTGACAAATTTCACCTGGTGTGGGAGAGTAGAATGGTTGTTCTCTCAAGGCATCCAATTAGGCAGAATTTCGAACTGCCGAGCCAAGAAATGTACTAACCAATTTGCATTTCAATTAATCACTTGCACCAGTTTGATGGTAATTAACCAAACGACAGGGCATACTATGACTCTAGAAACAGATAGATGAAAGAATAAAGCCCACCAGAGTGGCAGACTGAAATACAATTAGAAAGGAATCAGAGAAAAGGGTTAACACAATTCGTTATGCTGCTACAGTGTGAAATCAATGACTTATCTAAAGGCAGACACAACAAATGTAACTACGTAAGGGAGAGATTATACCCTATTTAATAAATTTTCACAAAGGAGAAGGTCCATAAACGAAAAAATGATTTTCGTATATTTAAACAAATTCCATCGGTGAATTTCCGGTAGAAGTTGTTCCTGTAAATCTTCCCCCTTTTTTTTTTCCGAGTTCAAAATTTCCAGCGCTTTTTGGTAGAGTAATGCAATTTTGATGAGTAGAATTCTACCCTTTAGATTATCACCAAACATTACCTAAACTGATATCATGACCAGGAGCTTTTGAGATTAATGCTAATTAGAGCCTGATTGATTCTCTTTAATTGAAAAATAAAATATTATATTGTTGAAAATGATTTTATAGTAAGGATAATGCTACATGTACCGAATTTATATACCAAATATTTTACACCCCACTCATATTAAGAGGTGGAGACCAGAAGCCGGAATTTGTAAATATACATGGGGCCAAGCACATTGTGAGAGGGGGATACCATTCGATACCTTCATTCGGTACATTTAGACTAATTCTTATAGCAAACCATAAGATAAATTAATGATTGCCGAACAAGATTTTTAATCCACCTTTCATGTAACCATCTGTGAAAATTTATGAGAGATCTTATGAATTATTTAGTACTAATTGACATGTCAATTAAACAGTAGCCTGAGTTTTATTTTCTCTTCCAATTTTATTTTGGAGAATTTACAATTTTTTACACCTAAGAAAATAATATTTGAGTAATTATATTCATGCGACAAATATTTTTATGTTTTGCATTATTCTTTAATTGCACTAATGATTCTTACCCTTATTTATCTCTCTTTATTTCAACCACATATTTTTCAATAAAATTACATTACGCATAAATTCAAAAATTTTCCTTAATTTTTAACAGCACATTGTTCATCAATTGACTATTTTAAAATGTATTCTTACTATAAAAATGAGAAAGAAGCATACTCTAAAATATTTATTGACAGTAAAATTTGAGTCCCTGACTTTATTTGCTACTAAGCCCCCGTTTGGTGCATATTTTGAAGGTAAGAATGCATTTTTACTGTTGATGTGATGGGGAATATGTGGTTGAAAAGGAAGGAAAAGTTATTGATGTGATAGAAAATATTATTTTATTGAAGAATGTGTGGTTGAAAATGAGTAGAAGAATGAGAATGCACTAATGATTCTTACCCTTATTTCTCTCTCTTTATTTCAACCACATATTTTTCAATAAAATAACATTACGCATAAATTCAAAAATTTTCCTTAATTTTTAACAGCACATTGTTCATCAATTTACTATTTTAAAATGTATTCTTACTATAAAAATGAGAAAGAACTCAAAGAAGCATACTCTAAAATATTTATTGACAGTAAAATTTGAGTCCCTGACTTTATTTGCTATTAAGCCCCCGTTTGGTGCATATTTTGAAAGTAAGAATACATTTTTACTGTTGATGTGATGGGGAATATGTGATTGAAAAAAGAATGAAAAGTTATTGATGTGATGTAAAATATTATTTTATTGAAGAACGTGTGGTTGAAAATGAGTAAAATAATGTGAACCAANATTGAAGAATGCGTGCTTGAAAATGAATAGAAGAATGAGAATGAAAAAAATAATGTGGACCAAACAGGGCCTAAATGTTAGGTACAAATATTTATGAGCCAAATTAAAAATCTAAAGCTTAACCAAACAAACCGTAGTGAATAGGTGGACATTACAATGTCCGAATATTCATATCCTGATTCATTGCCCTTTACTATCTTAAAATAATAAAAATAAAAATAAAATCAGAGTCACTCTCTTATCTTAAACTCTCTCTCTTCCTTCCTCACTCTAAAAAGTCTATCTCTCTCTTAAAAAGTAAAAGGATCTCAGTTTACCCTTGATGGCCTCTTCAACTCCGCCACCGCACTGTACTCTCACCACAACAAAACCTTACCAGAACAACCACTCCCACCACCTCCAAAACCACCTTCAAAACCGTAATTCCCACCATCAACACTGGGCATCCCAAAAGGTCTTCCTAAATAAAAATAATCCTTCTCATACCCGAAATGCGGCACCCAAGCCTCCTTCCGGCCCAGGCTCCACCTCCGGCCCAGGCTCTGCCTTCCCTTCCCTCTCCTCCGCTGACTTCTCCGGCCGCCGCTCTACCCGCTTTGTTTCCAAGATGCATTTTGGCCGCCCCAAGTCAACAGCCTCCTGCCGACACACATCTGCCGCGGAGGAGCTCCTTCAAAAGGCTCTTTGCTGCAGCGGTGATCATAACTGTATAGATGATATATTATTGAGCTTTGAGCCGAAGCTTCGTGGGTCGGATGACTACACGTTCTTGCTCCGGGAGCTAGGGAATAGGGGTGAGTGGTCTATCGCCATGCGTTGCTTTCAATTCTCGATTAACCGGGAAAAGAGGCGCAATGATAAAGGTAAATTAGCTAGCTCAATGATTAGTACTCTTGGTAGATTAGGCAAAGTTGATTTAGCTAGGGAAGTTTTTGAAAATGCGGTGAATGAGGGGTATGGGAACACTGTATATGCTTATTCTGCATTGATCAGCGCTTACGCAAAGAGTGGGTATTGTGATGAGGCCATTAGGGTCTTTGAGACCATGAAAGACTCGGGCTTGAAGCCCAATTTGGTCACATTCAATGCATTGATTGATGCATGTGGAAAAGGAGGTGCTGATTTCAAGAGGGCTTCAATGATTTTTGATGAAATGTTGAGCAATGGGATGCAACCAGATAGGATTACTTACAATTCGCTTCTGGCAGTTTGCAGTGGTGCAGGGCTGTGGGAGACTGCGAGGAGTTTATTTAGTGAAATGTTGTATAGGGGGATTGATCAAGATATTTATACATATAATACACTTTTGGATGCTGCTTGCAATGGTGGGCAGATTGATGTGGCTCTTGAGATAATGTCTGAGATGCCCACCAAGAAGATCTTGCCGAATGAGGTAACTTATAGCACTATAATTCGTGGATGTGCCAAAGCTGGGAGACTGGATAGGGCTCTCAGTTTGTTCAGTGAGATGAAGTTTGCGGGTATTAAGTTGGATAGAGTGTCTTATAATACCTTACTTGCTATTTATGCTAGCCTCGGCAGGTGTGAGGAGGCTCTGAATATTGGCAAGGAGATGGAGAGCATGGGGATTAAGAAGGATGTTGTCACTTACAATGCTCTATTGGATGGGTTTGGTAAACAGGGGATGTATGACAGGGTTAAGGAACTGTTTGCAAAGATGAAAGCTGAAAACCTCTTGCCTAACTTATTGACTTACTCAACATTAATCAGTGTTTATTCTAAAGGGGGTTTATATCGAGATGCCATGGAGGTCTACAGAGAGTTCAAGGGACGAGGCATGAAGGCAGATGTTGTTTTCTACAGCAAACTTATAGACGCGTTATGTAAAATGGGGCTGGTGGAATCGTCTGCAATTCTTCTTGATGAGATGATGAAGGAAGGTATACAACCTAATGTTGTAACTTATAATTCAATAATTAATGCCTTTGGTCTGTCTGTCGCTGTTGAATATCTGGAGTCTCAGCTGGGATCCTCACCACTACCTGATCTTGAGGATGTTGCTTATAATAAAGCTAAAGATGAAAAGGATGATAAAATCATTAAAATTTTTAAGCAGTTGGCTCGTGGAAAATCAGGTTTTCAAAAATGGGATATGAGGGGCAAACAGGACTTCCTCTGTGTCTTGGGAGTTTTTCAGAAGATGCATGAGATGGAAATAAAGCCAAATGTTGTCACCTTTTCAGCAATTCTGAATGCTTGCAGGTACAAGGGTTTAACCACTCTATCTCTTAACTTGTCCACTTATTATAGCTATATTATTTTCTCTGTGACATCAAGTTCTTCAACCTGATGTGTCTATTTCCTTCAATTTAACACGTAATTAAATGGGACTTCTTCATAGGCTGATATAATGTAGTACTTTCAGCTATAGAACACGTAAATAACATGTATAATGGGTCAAAATTTGGCATCAGTCAGTTGTACGTTTCTTTGTATAATCTCGCTTGTCATAGTTAATGTCAGTTTCATGGCGTTCTCTGTGGTTGCAGCCGTTGTAGTTCATTTGAAGAAGCTTCACTGCTATTAGAGGAACTACGTCTCTTTGATAATCAGGTTTATGGAGTAGCACACGGACTTCTCATGGGTCGTAATGAGAATGTTTGGTTGCAAGCTCTGTCCCTTTTTGATGAGGTGAAACAAATGGACACTTCAACTGCTTCTGCTTTTTATAATGCTCTGACTGACATGTTGTGGCATTTTGGCCAGGTAATTTATTAATTTAACTGAAAGGTTATTTGGCTTGACTGGAGTTAGTAGCTTCTCAATTAAATAACTGAATTTTATGGAAAGCATGGTGCCAGTTCTTTATTTTTAGCCAAATGATTTTTGTGGAATCTATGCTGGTGCATCTTTAGTCAGTGGTTTCTGTGTAATTCAATTCTGTTTTTATTGTTTCTTTCCGTTACTTATTTATATGTTTTACATTCAGACCGATAACCATTAAGGGGTGAGGAAACATTGAAGCTTACACTTGGGGAAAATTACAGTTGTGGAAACTAAGTTGCCTACTTCCATTTAAGCAGTCACGTTTGGCACCAAAACTGTCTAGAATCTGGATGCAATTTGGAAGTACATTGAACATTGAAAACTCTTATCTGTTAAATAAATATTGAAATAGAAAATGTTGAACTTGTTATTAGAAAAACATTGGTCAAAATGTTCCTTTTGGTCTTCACAGTTCTAAGGCTTTTATGATGATTTTTCTTTCAATTTTTTTTTTTGGAATGGAAAGGGAAGGAATGTACATCTCTACTCTACAGAAAAGCAAAAGCTTTCTAACGGGGTCCATATTATTCTTAATGGACTTCAACTAAATTAAAGAATGGAACTATCTAAATTTAATTGCTGAATCTCCTATATGGTTCTCTCGCCAATGAGATCTCCTTGGATGTTCACGTCTGACAGATTATTGTTTATCTTTTATTTCTTTCACTATGACCCTTTTTAATTTCTTTGAAAATAACTCAAGTCCTTCTCCTGTAAAATGTTTGGCATGGGATGTCTTGGCTGTTTAGCCAGTTTATATGCCTCGATGCTTTTCAATTAGTAAAGAGTTGGTGTTCTATTTTCCTTTAGTTTCTGTAGCAGTAAGATAACGGGATATGATAAAACATATTCATGTTATTATTTTATAAATATCTTTAGCTAATACATTTCTCGGGTCAGCTTTCTGTTAAAGTTGATATTGGAGTTAGGATGCCACTTAAAGGGATTCAAAATTCATCTTTCTATTTTTCTTCGCAGAAACGAGGTGCTCAACTTGTTGTTCTTGAAGGAAAACGCCGACAAGTATGGGAAAATACTTGGTCTGAATCTTGCTTAGATTTGCATCTAATGTCTTCAGGTGCTGCAAGGGCTATGGTTCATGCCTGGTTGCTTGATATTCGCTCTATTGTTTTTGAAGGCCATGAGTTACCAAAGCTTCTAAGGTAAGTCTTTTATCAGGAAAATTCACTTTCGTGTTGTCTTTAATGTGCTTGTATTGATTGGATGGATGTTTTTATCATTATGCAGCATCTTGACGGGTTGGGGCAAACACAGCAAGGTGGTGGGTGATGGTGCACTTAAGCGTGCTATTGAAGCTCAGCTAACCAGCATAGGTGCACCTTTTCAGATCGCCAAGTGTAATATTGGAAGGTTTATATCAACTGGGGCTGTGGTTGCTGCCTGGTTACGAGAATCAGGCACGCTAAAGGTACTCGTTCTTCAGGATGACAGAACTAACCAAGAAGGCACAAGGTTTGGTATTATTCCCAATTTGCAACCACTCTCAATATAGTTGGTTGTACATCATGTGGACATGGATTTTGACATGCCTATGTATTGTAAATTAAGTTTTATATTCTGGAATGGCTCTGTGTGTGTTCTTTGCACGCTGCTGTTGGTCCGTTTGGGTGCCTATGCACGTGTGTGAATGAGTTGAGCCATGTTCTTGATAATGCAGTTTCTCCTGCAAGTTTCAAGTTAGATCTTTGTTATCATTCTCATCGGCCCTTCTTGTTATAATTTCACTGGTTTGTTGATTAGATTAGGAGGCTTTATTATCCCAATTTTTTGTTATGGATCTATCTATTTTTTGGATATGAATGGGCTTGTGTTTTATGCTGAACAATTCTCTTTCCAACCGAAAGGTAACGGTATTTTTGGATAATGCAGAAATATACTATGCTGTAAAACTCACTAGCACTGTAACTCTGTTTATACTTTATATACGTAAATGGATTGTCTAAAAATAATTAAAGCCTTGCAATTTCAGAAATTTAATCATCTATAGAGCGTACTCTCCAAACGTGATCATGGCAGGGAGAAGACAGAACTCCGTGTTCCCACAATTGCAGTAGGCGAGGACGGTCGGGAAGTTTCACTATCCTTTTTGCTGCATGGTACTAAAGTCAATACTTGATATTGAAAATGTGCTTATAAAAAATTGACAATCTTAATTAGTCTTTTTGTTTGTATATTGATACTCGATCAAACCGAGAATGAAAATTGGCGGAAATATACGAAGTTATTTCTAGACAAATACAAACTAAATAATTTCTAAGTTATCTAATTTTAGTTCATTAGAATCGGGTGAAAATACCAACAAAATGATATTTATAGCATGAGTAATTAACACAAAACGTCCACATCTTTCATTGTTATTGTGAGAAACGTCAATGTCTTTTATTTTTTGGCATTTTCACTCTTATTTTCATATTTCATTGCGTAAAATATTATTTTTATCTATTTTTTCAATTAAAAATTGTGAAATGACGAAAATGTACTTTCTTTTAAATAAAACAAAAGGAAAAAACTAATTGTAAACATAGTCCTACATTTTTGAAAAGAGCAAATGAATCTCAAATAAATTATTAAAAGGGTAATTATCACATAATTTCCCTATATTTCATTATTATTACGAAAAACATCCATACTTTTTATTTTTTTGGTTTTTTCTCCCTTAATTATAATTTGATAGCGTTATCAATTTTCATCCAAATTCTCAATAAAAAACAGTGGGATGAAGAGTATACTTTCATATTTAAATAAAAAAGATAAAGAATTAATTGTAATCATTGTTACAATTTTTTTAAAAAGTGCAAACGAGTCCCCAATAAATTATTTTAAAAAATTAATTTTTTAATGAAAAGTGCAAACGAGTTTTAATTAAATTTATTTAAAAATTAAAAAAATTAAAAAAAATGAAAAAGTGTAATCGAGTTTCAAATAAATTATTAAAAAATTAGAAATTAAAAAAATATATTTTTTATTTAGGCAGCAAGGCCTTTGGTGTGGACTGCCATCTGGTAAGCATAAGATGAATTTGTCAATTTTTTTGTTTTTTCGGGCAATTAATTATAAATTAAAATATACAAAGTTATTACTCTATTTGAGGAATGTGCAGGTGAACAACATCTGGATCCTATTGGAAGCTTACAAGTATCAATCAACAAAATGATAATTATAACAATTAATCCTATTCACCTGCCTCCAGTCCCATGTAATGTTAACAAATCTAGATAGAACTTTCTACAGAACAGAACAGAACAGAACAGAACACTTCATTTTCTGCAGCAAAATATGTCTCTCAAATCTTTTTCAAATAAAATCCATTATTAAATCTAGAATCTCTCCACCAAAATCAAACCCATAAGATAAAATAATATATATTTAAACTTTGAGATTTGAGAAAAGCTAACACAAAGAACCAAAAAGAAAAGAAAAAATACATGCATGGATATAGACCCCTCTCTCTCTCTCTCTCAGTGTCGGCACTTGGAAGATTGAGTTTAATCCTGTATGTATGTAATTGTTTCAGGATTTACAGAGCTCTCTGCAGCCTTTTCCAATTCCACGGAAGCTAAGCTACTAGTAGTAGTATGTTTCTGTTGCCCAAAATCAAATACCTGTCGGCTGTCTCTCCAATCTCCATTAATTTTCAGCACCAACCGCCAACCTCTTTATTTATCTATTTTTTAATTATTTATTCAATCATTTTCCTTTTTATGCCTTTTTTTTAAAATATGGGATGTGAGTGGGGGTGTGTGGAAAGCAGGGGTGAACTTTTTTTCTGTTTTGCTCTCTCTATATATATGGGTCTTCACTTCATTGTTTTCCATGTGTGTTTACACTAAATGTTCACCTCCAGTTCTAAGTTCTATAAATTGTTCTCCACTTTTAGCTTTCTTCCTGTTCTGTGACTCTTGAGAGCTCTTCTTTCTCGTTTCAAGCTTCTGTTCAAATTTCATCTACATATTCTAGCTCCTTTATTGGTTACTGTGATTTTCACACACTGTAATTCAATATAATTTTCCTGTTTCCAGTCTCACAGCTGTTCTAGTTTTCTTGTTATATAAACATCATAATCACTGTTTCTTACTCTGTTGCGAACTTGCTAAATGCTATGGCACCCCCAAATGATCCAGCCAACTCAATCTTTCATGTCCTATCCAGCGAAAGACATAACCTCTTTGAACTTGTTTATGGCAAGCTTTATGTGAGAAATTTGCCACTGCTCACTGAAATTCCAAGCAATGTCACCTTTAAAAGTTTCTCTTCAATATGCCAATCCACTGATGCTCCTCTACCACTGTTTCAGCGTGTGAAATCGCAGTCTTTTAATGGAGGATTCCTCGGATTCAGCAAGGAGGAATCTTCTGAAAGGCTAATGAATTCCCTTGGCAAATTTAGTGCAAGGGATTTTCTCAGCATTTTCAGGTTCAAAACATGGTGGTCTACTCAGTGGGTAGGCAATTCGGGTTCCGATTTAAGGATGGAAACACAATGGATAATGTTTGATGTCCCTGAGATAAAGTCTTACGTTGTCATTATACCAATAATTGAAGGCAAATTCAGGTCTGCCCTTCACCCTGGAACTGAAGGTCATGTCATGATTTGTGCTGAAAGTGGCTCTACACAGGCAAAAACATCATCTTTCGATGCTATTGCCTATGCTCACGTCTCTGAAAATCCCTACAACTTGATGAAAGAGGCGTACAGCGCTATAGAGTCCATCTCGATACATTCAAACATCTGGAAGAAAAATCTGTTCCACCTCTAGTAAATAAATTTGGTTGGTGTACTTGGGATGCATTTTACTTGACTGTAGAACCTACTGGAATCTGGCATGGTGTGAAGGAGTTCTCAGATGGCGGGCTTTCCACAAGATTTCTCATCATTGATGATGGCTGGCAAAGCATCAACTTTGATGGACAAAATCCGAATGAGGATGCGAAAAATCTAGTCCTTGGAGGGACTCAAATGACTGCCAGGCTTCACAGGTTTGATGAATGTGAAAAATCCAGGAAGTACAAGGGTGGATCCATGTTGGGGCCTGATAGCCCTCCATTTGATCCAAAGAAGACAAAAATGTTGATTTCTATGGCAATTGAGATTGAATTTGCTGAAAAAGCTCGCAATAAGGCAGCTCAATCTGGAATCACTGATTTGTCTCAATATGACGGTCAAATTGAGAAATTGAAAAGGGAGTTGGATGACATGTTTGGCAGAGAAGAAGGAAAAACTTCCAGCAAAGGATGTGCAAATAGTTCTTGCAAATCAGAAAACTTTGGATTGAAAGCTTTCACAAGGGATTTGAGGACGAATTTCAAAGGATTGGATGATATATACGTCTGGCACGCGTTATGTGGTGCTTGGGGAGGGGTGAGGCCTGGAACAACTCATCTTGATTCCAAGATTGTGCCGTGCAAATTGTCCCCTGGACTTGGTGGAACCATGGACGATCTTGCTGTGGTGAAAATTGTTGAGGGTTCCATTGGACTTGTTCATCCTGATCAAGCCGAAGATTTCTACGACTCGATGTACTCTTACCTTTCTACCATTGGAATTACTGGAGTTAAAGTGGATGTGATTCATGTAAGTTTTTATTTTATTTTAAGGTCTATAGTTAATATTATAAGATCAATAAACTAATATACTTCTTCAATACAGACACTTGAATATGTGTCTGAGGATTATGGTGGTAGGGTTGAGCTTGCGAAGGCCTATTATAAAGGGCTGTCAAAATCCCTTGCCAAGAACTTCAATGGAACTGGACTAATATCCAGCATGCAGCAATGCAATGACTTCTTTTTACTTGGAACTCAGCAGATATCTATGGGAAGAGTTCGTAAGTTTCCTTTTTTTGGATTTTCCCATGTTGGTGTACACTTTAATCTTTCGAAAATGAGAAAAAGTTTGCAGAATATGGTAATTAATATAATGCCTTCGCCTTTTTAACTTTTCTGAACAGGGGATGATTTCTGGTTCCAAGATCCTAATGGTGATCCAATGGGAGTATATTGGTTACAAGGTGTCCATATGATTCACTGTGCCTATAACAGCATGTGGATGGGTCAGTTTATACAACCAGATTGGGACATGTTTCAATCGGACCATCTGTGTGCGAAATTCCATGCTGGATCCCGGGCTATCTGTGGGGGGCCAATTTATGTGAGTGATTCTGTGGGTGGCCATGATTTTGTTCTGTTGAAGAAACTTGTATTCCCTGATGGTACCATTTCCAAATGCATTCATTTTGCTCTCCCAACAAGAGATTGCCTCTTCAAGAATCCCCTCTTTGACAGCAAAACCATTCTCAAAATTTGGAACTTCAACAAGGTAGCTTCAAAAAATAAGAAATTTTTATTTTTTTGTATATGTGAATATTGTTTACTAGTTACAAATTTCACAGTATGGAGGTGTGGTTGGTGCATTCAACTGCCAAGGTGCTGGATGGGATCCTAAGGAGCAAAAGATAAAGGGCTACTCTCATTGTTACAAACCAATTTCTGGTTATGTTCATGTGAGTGACATTGAATGGGATCAGAAGGAGGAAGCAAATGAAATGGGAGAAGCAGAAGAATATGCCGTCTATTGTAGTGAGGCCGAGATACTAATTGTAACAACACGCAATTCTGAAGCTATTCCAATCAATATTCAGCCATCTACATTTGAGATTTTCAGCTTCATCCCAATCAAGAAACTCGCCGAGGCTTTGAAATTCGCTCCAATTGGACTAATCAATATGTTCAATAGTGGAGGAACAATTCAAGGCGTGGTATACAATGGGACTGGTGTGGAAATTGAATTGAAGGGGGGAGGGAATTTCTTGGCCTATTCCAGTGTGTCACCTAAGAAATGCTATCTCAATGGTTCTGAAGTTGGATTCAATTGGTCAGAAAATGGCAAATTGGGATTGTAGCTTCCCTGGATTGAAGAGGCTAGTGGCATTTCTAATGTGACTTTTGTTTTCTGTGTGTGATCCTGTGCTCTAGTGCAGCATGTGACAACTAAAAAATACAGAAAATCGAAGAAAATATTCAGTGTTTTACTTATTTTGGTTTCTAAGCCTTGTTTTGTCGCTTTGATGTCAATTCCATCTATTGTTTTCTCCCACTTAGAAAGAGGGATTTCGGTTCGAGGACTACGCGCCCTCTTGTGAAGTTACTCAGACCACTTGTCTTATATTTCTGAATGGTTTTATTTTGAGTAATTCGAAGTCTTTTCTATATACCATATTTTGTGGGAATCCAGAGAGAGTATGTGCTACATTTTAGTATTCAGACCAATTTAGATGGTTCATTGGATAGATTCAATTCAATGAATGGATCATTTAACTGAACAGCATTACACTTTTTCAAATATCTCAATTTAGACAACAAACATTGGTATATTTATCATTAGTAAACTGAACCAAACTCATAAAGACTAAACAAGTATACATAATTAATCTCAGAAGTTCTTCGGCTCCCATATTTCCAGTAATATCATCGATTAAGACTTGTTAAATAGAGACAGGTGGAAGATAATCGATCATGTCGACTAGATAATATTCTTACAAGTAACAGGAACTATTTTGAACAAGAATTGGTATGAAAAAGTGTCCATCGTTGGAGGGCCATCTAATTCTAACCGTTGATATAAAAGACTGATCGGTGCTTCGAACTGTCTTTTAAATAATTTTCATCTAATCAAACAATAAGTAACTAACACCTGTAATTGTAAATAAATATCTCTAATAACGTTAGTGGAACGATTGAGCTTGGATTGACTGAACTAAGGCCCTGTTTGATATGCTAAAATTTCCAGGAAAAAGGAATTCAAATTTCATTTTTCATCTTTTGTCACGTTTGATATACTAAAATATCCAAGAAATTCTTTTTCGACAAATGCCACACTTTCTATGAAATGGTTGAATTGGCTTTCCTACATTTTTTGTGGAAAAATGGAATTCCACCCCTTTTTTTGACAATGGAAATAAATTTCATAATCAATTGTAAAAAAAAAATTCACTTTAATGGACAATTTGCATGTAAAATAAAATCAAACGAACACTAAACTTTGATAAAAAATAATTTTCTAGGAAATATATATATACTTTTTGAGAATGGAAATAAATTTTATAAACAATTATAGAAAAAATTATCACTTTAATGGATAATTTTCATGTAAAACAAAGCCAAACGAACACAAAATTTTAAAAATTTTCGGGTGAAAAATTATACAAATCAAAGACACTTAATTAACAATTCCCTGAAAAATAAGTTTTAGACAATTACTTTATCTGAAATTTATTTTTTTCCACTCATTTTTCACTCTTACGATCAAACGGATGATAAATCTAATTGCTTGTTTGAAACCATCCCTTTCAAGAAACAGCACAGCATTATCAAAATCTAATTTCGTCAAATCTTACCTAATCAAATCTAATTGAAAATTACAAGAAACGCTGCTGCCTTTTTACACGTGTTGCAGTCTCTGGCCGACCACGGTCTTTACTGGGAATTAAATTGTGAGAATTTACACGCAGATGTCGATTCTTTCGTTTTAGATTTTCTGGAAATTGCATGTTTGAAGCTACTTACATGCATGTTGCATTTGCCCACAATTAAATTAAGTAGAGGTGTTGACCTCGAAAAATGGCTCGAACACGTGGCCAACAGGATATGTCTTCAAGCTAAATCCTCCTGCACACGTAGCACGCCGTCAGTCACTCGAGGCCTCTCCCTGATGGGGTAGGCGCTGACGCAAGCACTCCGACGGTCAAGTCAGATTTATGATTTAAATAGAGACAGGTGGAAGATAATTGATCATGTCGACTAGATAATATTCTTACAAGTAACAGGAACTATTTTGAACAAGAATTGGTATGAAAAAGTGTCCACCGTTGGAGGACCATCTAATTCGAACCGTTGATATAAAAGACTGATCGGTGCTTCGAACTGTCTTTTAAATAACTTTCATCTAATCAAACAATAAGTAACTAATACCTGTCATTGTAAATAAATATCTCTAATAACGTTAATGGAACGATTGAGCTTGGATTGACTGGACTAAGGCCCTGTTTAATATGCTAAAATTTCCATGGAAAAAGGAATTCAAATTTCATTTTTCATCTTTTGTCACGTTAGATATACTAAAATATCCATGAAATTCTTTTTCCACAAATGCCACACTTTCTACGAAATGGTTGGATTGTTTTTCCTACATTTTTTGTAGAAAAATGGAACTCCACCCCTTTTTTTGGCAATAGAAATAAATTTCATAATCAATTGTAAGAAAAAAAATTCACTTTAATGGACAATTTGCATGTAAAATAAAACCAAACGAACACTAAACTTTGATAAAAAATGATTTTTTAGGAAATATGTATACACTTTTTGGGAATGGAAACAAATTTTATAAATAATTATAGAAAAAAGTATCACTTTAATGGATAATTTTCATGTAAAATAAAGCCAAACGAACACAAAATTTTAAAAATTTTCAGGTGGAAAATTATACCAATCAAACACACTTAATTAACAATTCCCTAAAAATAAATTTTAGACAATTATTTTATCTGAAATTCATTTTTATTTCTACTCACTTTTCACTCTTACAATCACGGACCGTAAATCTAATTGCTTGTTTGAAACCATCCCTTTCAAGAAACAGCACATCATTATCAAAATCTAATTTCGTCAAATCTCACCTAATCAAATCTAATTGAAAATTACACGTGTTGCAGTCTCTGGCCGACCACGGTCTTTACTGGGAATTAAATTGTGAGAATTTACACGCAGATGTCGATTCTTTCGTTTTAGATTTTCTAGAAATTGCATGTTTGAAGCTACTTACATGCATGTTGCATTTGCCCAAAATTAAGTAGAGGCCCTTTTAATTTGTTATACAATAGAATTTCATCCAATTAAGCCCCTAGTTGACAACTATTATTTTAAAATTATTTTTTCTACTTACTTATTTTCAATCACACAATAAAATGTTATGTATTCAAACCCAAAGTTTTTTCTTACTTAATCACAAATTCTTAAAAAAATTACAATTCAAAACTCTATTTTACTCAAATAATGGCTGTCAAACAAAGGCTAAGAATGTTACTAGTATCATAAAGGAAAAGAAAAGTGGTTCCAAATTTGTATGTTGGTTCTTTTAAACATGTGATTTTTGTCAAGCAAACAATAAAGTTAATTTAAATTTTAATCACAATATAGAAAGAAAATGAATATAACATAAGATTTTGCAATCTCATCAAAACTTAGTTTTTCCCATAAAATATATATTTATGGGTTAGGCCAGGCTCGATTTCACTTACCTCCACTTGGTTTGTATTTCATTGGGCCTACCTATGTCCACCATAGCAACTAATTAAGAGGAAATTACATAATTCCATGGGTTTGAAGATTGAAATTCAAAAATTAGGGATCAAGTTTCATTATTCAAAAAACAGGTAATATATAAAACCCCTAACCCTAATTTTTCGCTCTCTCTCTCTCTCTCGCCTCCTCTCCTCCCCCTCCCTTCTCCCAATCGGTGGCGCGATGTTAAGATTTGCATCGTGTTAGTGAGAGATCTACAACATCTTCGAGTGGAGGCAATTATTGTCAAAATTAGGATTTAATTCTGGGTGGTGCGATCTGTGTGGCTATGTGGTGCGATTTGTAATCCCTTTGTGTCCATGTGTTGGGTTTTGATGAAGGTGGTGACGCCGGTGCGATGGTGGTGGCAGCGTGGTATGATTTGTCTGTCTGTGTGCGATCTGTACATCTGTGTGTGGGCTGTATGTTAGATTGTTGGTGCAAGTAGTGCCGGTGGTATAGTGGTGGTGTTGTTGGACTGTTGTTATAGGCGATGGTGGTGGTAGTGACGTTGAATCTATGGTTTGAGCTTGTCTGTGGTGATGGCTGGAGGAGGCTTGTGCTTTGGTGGTGAACGGTGGTGATATGGCGTTGGTGGTGGTTTTCCATGAAAAGGAGGTGAATGGATTGGTGGGGCTTTGTGCTTGGCGGTGAACGGTGATGATAAAGTGTTGGAGGCGACTGTCTGTGAGGAGGGGTTGCATAGCTAGGTGGTGATTAATCAGTGGCAAGAGGTGGTGGCGGGTTTGTAGTGGGTGGTGTGATATAGTGGAGGTGGTTGTCAGTGGCTTTGTTGGTGCTATTGCGACGTGGTGAGGGCGGTTGAAAGTGGCCATAGTGGTAGTGGGGGTAGTCTGTGACTAAATGTTGGTAATCTGTGACCAAATATTTGGTAATTTGTGACTAATTACTCATCTGTGACATAAAAATTTAATAATATGTGAGTCAAAAATAATCTTTGATCAACTAATTTAAAAATCTGTGACCTCGAAATAATCTGTGATCAATTAATTTTAAAATATGTGACCTGTGACCTATAATTATGTATATGTGACTATTAATTATATAACTATGATCTTATTATATATAATTAATTAACTAAAAACCTGATTTTTGCATTAGCGAAACTTAAAACTTAATTTTTGAATTGTGTATAGTTAAAATCTTATTTTTGAACTCTTCCCACTAATTAATTCATAGATGAACCACATTCCGAAGGAAAACATAGGCCCATCACTTTTGTGTAGTGTGTTATTTATCCATGTTTGAAAAATTTATCGTGGAAATGAAATTTTGAAAGATATTTATGTCTTTAAATCCGTGGCACATAATGAACCAGGCTTCCTTAAACATAATTAAAATACACCTTTTCGACTACATTTATGTTCCATTAAAATCTTGAGCAACAAAAAAAAAGTCAGAACATTGCCTTCCTTATCCAAACACAAAAATCTATTTATCAACTTATGTTGAGACAAATATCCATATCCTGATCAAGTCTAAACATTTAACAGGTTTCCAGTAGGGAAACATGGAGTTGTAACCATCGCAATTGAGCTGGAAAAAATGAGGCCTAGTCCCTATTCACACCATAATGCATTGAATTTGGAAAGTGGGGGGAAGGAACAATCCTGGGTGTTTTATTTGGTGGCGTGATCAAAGTAAGTTGGTGGTTCAATGGAAGCAGCCGGCTACAGGAAGGAATCGTGTGCATCAACCAAAACTCTTACACGTGTCTCTCTTGTATTGATTGATCCCACTTCCTTCAAAGCCTTGTCTAATAATGCATTATCCTCGTAGGTTCCCAACCCACCTACAATGTCCCATATTAAAGGCTGTGTGTCTGTCAAACAAAATTTCTTGAATGAATAATGGGTGATTCACAAAAGCCAATTCTCAGCAAACCTTTATGGACCAAAACCCTATTTGAAAGGATTAGTCTAAATGTACATAATCAATTACTTAATGGATTACACCCCCTCACATGGAGGAGAGCCCAAACACAATGAAATATTCGTGGGCCCCCCTCCATATGAGAGGGGTGTAATCCATTAGATAAAGGATTGAGTGTACATATAGTACAACTCTATTTGGAATCACCAGGCAGGAAAAAATGGTCTTCATCTTAAATCAAGAACATAAGGTGTAAAAGGATTTTGACGAAGAGAAGCGGACGTTTCGATCAGTCGAAAAGGCCCCAGGACTCAGTCCAATTCCAGACTGTGAATCAATAGGAGAGGAAAGGCTTTTCAAGGAAACAGCAGAGATTACATTATGGCTTTACAAATGAGAGTTAAAGTCATGCAAATTATGGTAAATGCATTGTCAGGTTCTGATGAATGATTTGTTTGTTAATTCATTTGCAGACACCATTCCTTTTCATCCATTAAGTAATGTAATTTATATTGCCAGAGCAGCCGGTTTAGAAGTCCAGGTACGTGCAGGTGTAGCATATATAGTGTTACTCCTTTAAATTACGTGACACGCACATGATAGGAAGGACCCCACATACCGACGTGACATTGACTTAAAGGATCCTCTAAAAGATAGTAGTTTGGCTCTCCCTCACATTTTCAAGGCAGAGATTGCATATTTAAATTTTGCCTTAACTCTTCAAATAAGTATGTAATTTGTTTTGAATTTATACTATATGATAACAGTGATGCTACATGGTTGACATAATACTACATGACAACCCATTATTGAACTGTTTAAAACATATTCAGTTTTTTCCATCCAATTACATATTGCGAACACCTATAATATCAACCAATATATTACCTACTTTCTAACAAAGTAGCATTATTGATATGCGAAATTGTAATTTTTTTCAAAAATACAGAAAATTTGTTTGATACATATTATTTTCAAAATACATTATTGTGAGACAATATTTAAGTACTTAAAGACGTGTGGATATGATAAGTGTCATCATATATACATATAAAGAGAGAGAACCGGTAACAATAGTCAAACGTGAAGATGGATTTTGCAGTATTAGAGCATCCCACACCCCCACTTTATATTTGAATAATCGTTGTTGATAATATTAATGTTGTTAAAATCTGAATCATTGATTTAAAATATAGTTTTTAAAATGGATGAATGTGAAGTTGTCAAGTGTGAATTATTAATCAAGATTGTAAAAACTGGTTGCACTAGTATGATTGATTTTGAATTAACCTATTTTTATTTGTTTTCGATTTCTCATAACGTATGTTAGAAGCAACCTAGTGAAGTGGTCGCATTTTTTTAAATCCAAAATATAATTGGCATAATAAAATAACTAAAGTTGTTACATGTACATTCATTTTATACATCAAGTTTGACATTCATGATGTGTCAAAATCATGATCATTGATTTGAATAACACTTTTTTAAATCCCGTGATTTTGTAATATCAAAGGGTGTCAAATTTGTTGTACAAAAAGAATGTACAATTTGTTTAATTCATTTACTTATTTAGGAATGTGATGGGCCCCCATCAGGCAAATAGTGATTTGCCACGTGGACGATAAGTAATCGTGTGGCATTTGAAATGGCTGATGCCCCAAAGACAGGAATCTATTTACGGGCAGTTTTTTATGGTTGATGTTTCAGGGTAAATTGAAGTCATCATTTTATGTATCTAAACTACATTTTTATATTTTTAACTATTTTGAGTTCTTGTGAGAAATATAAAACTTTTTACATACTAAATATTTACATTTTAAATGAGAAACAATAAAGCAGCTCACTAACCAATTGGATTCTCAAGTAATAATAAATTCCCAACCACTTGCTTGAATAGCAAATAGGTCTCGCCTAGTCGAGGTTCCTTTTTAATACCGAGAAAGCCCCTTTACCTTTTTTTTTCTTGGTTTGATAAAAGGGCAAGGATGCTATGAACAACAGAGTTCTCCATCCAAGTTGACTTTTCTTATTCTCTTGTCTCAATTATATAATCATATTTATTTCTCGAGAATGTTTGTTTTATTCGTTTACTTATATACTCTTATTACTTTGTCGAGTTATAACCAATATTTTTCAATTTACTCCTAGTTGTTGATAATTAAATAAAGGTAAATTAGGAAATTTTTTTGGCAAAAATTGCTTTTTCAATAATATTTAAATTTTTTTTTTTGATCTATGTAAAAAATCAACCTATATAAATAGGACAGATAGAATAAAAAGAAAAGAACTGATTTAACCCTATATTTATGAGAAATGCTATTCATCCCCACTGGGGATTCACCCCCAGTCTATGTGGCCTATCATTTAACCAATAATTTAAATCCACATAGACTGAGGATGCATCTCCACTGGGGATGAATAGTATTTTTCTATATTTATTTAGCCGGACAAATACGATACAACTTCTAGAAGAATTTTTTGTACCATATAAAAGACATGGCATTTATTTCTTTTTGGCCACATATAATCAACTTATTTACACTTGGATGATATTTTATTCCAAATAAAATAATGGCAATTTATTTTCCGAGTTTCATCACTCAATAAGAACCAAAATTAAAGACACGATTGTTACAAACAAATTCAATCAATATATTTATTCATTGAATTTTGCCTTTGTTTCTTTCATTTAAATAGAATTGGCTTTGCTGCAAGCGGGAGTTACCATAGGGTTAATAGCCCAGGCCTATTCATAAGCTCTCCACCCTGACTCCTGGGAGGCACATCCAGCGATTTACCTCCTCCACAATGGTCCAGGGCAGGGTCGGTGGGGGCCCTCAAGGTTGGGGTTCAACCTTTAACAA